ATATATATATATATATATATAATAATATAATATATATATATATATATATATATATATATATATATATATATATATATATATATATATATATATATATATATATATATATATATATATATATATATATATAAAAAATTCACAATTGAATGGGTATGATATAAAAAAATAATTTAAGAATGAAATAGCAAGAAGGATTCCTTTTACTTGCCGCAGAGCTTAAACAATTCTCGGAACTTGCCTGGCTCGCACCGAGCCGCCCCTGTTCTTGGCAGCAGTCGACTCAAAGAGCAAGCCGGAAGAGACATGTGGTGGGACGAAGACGACGATCGAGAAGCCTTTGCAGCTTTGGAGGAGGAAGAAGAAGAAGGACAAGACTTCTATTCTCCTTTCGGCTTCCTCTCGCTCCTATCCAGACCAAAGGTAAATAAATGCTCCAACCTGATGAGAGCAAAACAATTCCTCTCCTTTGGTTTAGGGTTTAAGTCGTTACTGATGATCCGATCTTCGTATTCTTCTCTCTCCCTGATACAAGCTCCTCATCTTCGAACCCTGAGCCGTGATATCTGGATTTTGGCGCTTGCGTGTTCTCTTGTATGTTTCGAATTGGTTTGAAAATGAAAAAGAATGTGATTTTTCTTATAGTTTCTTCAACTATTAAGGTTGGTCATGTTGATAAAGTGCAGCGCAATCAGAAATATGTTTTAAATGGGAACAGCTCTGTGATCTAGACCCGTAATCAGTAACTGACATTTGTGCATTACGTTGTAAATGTGCTTCATATGAATTTTATTGAACTTTATGCTATTGGAGATTGAGGTCTAATAATTTTATCTGATTAATTTGATCCTTAACTCTGAAACTCGAGGAAAAACATATGAAATGTTTTAAACGGGCACTTTTGAATTAAGAGCAATATAGCTCGCTGTAGTTTTGGTAAAACTAATTCTTCTGTTTTCTGTGTTTTGCCATATATATGAAAGAAACGTTACTTTTGTCTGTTTGAGGAACTAAGATCCATGACATTCCATATCAATTATCATGTCATTATTAGGACTACTACAAAATTCTGGAAGTTGATTATGATGCCACTGAGGAGGCCATTCGGTCTAACTTCATACGTCTAGCATTGGTTAGTATTGATCTTCATATTTCCTTTTTCTTAAATGATTTAATGTATAATTAGTTTAAATATCATCCAATGTAACTTTTGCTACCTAAACACAAACTAGCTAGTGACTGTGACATAAAACTTAGCTGCCTTTTGTTGGATCTTTGACATGAAAATTTCTTAGATCAGCATTCGATCTGATGTAACACCTCATATTTTTACATGGAGAATAAATTTTGTTGTCCTTGGTTTACATTCTGCAGAAATGGCATCCTGATAAGAAAAGGGAAACAATGCTACTACGAGATTCCAAGATATCAATGAGGCATACAAGGGTTGGTTTTCAACTGTTCATATTTTATATCTTTCATCACATGTGGATGATGCATTTCTTTTTGGCAAACTGTCGTGGAAGGAAGGTTTCTCTTACTTTAGATTATCACGTATTTAAATAATCTTGTATGTTTTCACATTTGATTCCTTTCCCATTTTTTTCTGGCAATAACAGCTTGTCTAGTTGTCTTGGAATAGAAAAGTTTGCAATCTGTTCGATACCACAAAGTCAAAAATGTGTTCCTTTGATTGGAAGAGTTGCTAATGAAAGCAATATTTATTTTCATTGTGAAAATGGATAAATATCAAGTCATGGATCTGCTCTATGTACCTTGACTGTCAATGCCAATTGCCGATCTTCAGCCATGTACTAACAACTGAAGAGGTTCTCCTGCCAGTTCATTCACCCATGCATCTCAATCATGGAATCTGTGATTATGTTGATTGCTGAATGCATTGTTTAGTTTCTTAGGATTTTCCCTGATTTTCTCTAATGAGGTAGGTGAAAACTCTGTATCCGAGAAGTTATTTGAAGTTTTTGAACAATTTATTTCCTTCTGCTATAACATTTTGCAAATATCAATTAGAGCTTAGTCATCCTTTTGACTCCCATAGACTCCAGCAAACTACTTTAACTAGTTCTCTCTTCAATTGACCTATTTGATGTGCTTAAAGATTTTTTTTCTCCTGCCAGTATATAAGACCACAGGCTTCTCAGTTGACGAATTCTGCCATTGGCAAGAACTAATAGGATGTGAATAAAACTTATCAATGAGCCAGTCGGCTTGTAAGTTTGGCCAGAGTTTTAGCTTGAGCTTGTAATGAGTCATTGCAATTGCAGTACCTTCAAATGCAATTCTATAAATTAGGTTTCCTTAATTATGGAGTAAAAAGAGAAAGTAAGTCTTTTTTTATTTAATATTAATTGCGGACAATTGATCTACTGGTCTTCTACTCATTTGGTTTGTATTCCACTTTTTGGATAATTGCAGTTTTTGACTTTTTTTCTTTTTAATCTCTGTTATACCATACATTGATGGGATACCGTTTTCTAGATTCTGTCATGCGTGCAACTCCAATGACACTTCAAATGCCAACGTGCTCAGTTTTAATTACTGTTCTCTTTTGTCTCACTCAAAATTGCTCATCTATATTCAGGTAATCTTATATTGTTTCTTACCACATATTTTATTTTAACAGTTTTAAGTGATCCTAACAAGAGACGGCAGTATGACAGGAAAGGATTTCATGGTATCCAAGACTACAATGTCATAGTAAGCATATTTTTACTTATATCCTGTATAATCATTTAAGGTGTCTAATAGATAGTAAAGCTTGTTTCTCTTAATTTTAAATTACTGAAGTTCCATAGTTAAACTGCATCTTGAGTTCTTACATTGACTGCATGTATCTGTAAGAAAGAACCTTGATGAACAAAGGTTCACTTCTTCGGCTCAAGTTGGAATTCCATTTGCCTTACCATGTTGACAACTTGCATTCTGCAAGTTGTATGTATCAGTTTGGTTTAGTTTAAGTTTAGCAGTTTTGGTCGGGTCCCGTTATATCAATATGTTGTAGAACTTGCAAGTAATTTCAGCATGCAGTTTCCTTGTTGCTTTTGGCTACTTCAAATTTACCCATAGCATATGCTGAAGTAATTTAGAACTTTAATTTTAAAAATTTACGGTGGTTGGCTTTATTTGGGAGGAGTTGAGGAATGATGGTGGTTCTTTTTCAAGTTCCTTTTATTTTTGTAATGAAGATCTTGCATGAGCAAACTGTGACTCTGGTTGAAGAAACACAAACGTGGTTGAATAAAGAAGTTACTTTGCTATTCTTCGCTTAAAATCTGTTTTCCTCTCTTGTAGTTCTTTACATTATCATTCTTTTTTCCTGGATCAAACCATAGGCATTAAGATGATTGGAAATAGATATATGCTTCTCCCTGCTACTTTTTTAACTTACTGGATCTGCTACAAAAGAACTGATGCTAAATGAAGGTTATTACCCAGGTAGGATACTTAGGTACCACATATACAAGGAGTCAAGCCCGAAACCTCTTCAAGATGGAAAGTGAATCAATGACTGTGCAAAGGCCCAATTACTTGCTGAATGCAGGCCCAAATTATACAAACACAGCTCTGATTGCTTTTGGACCTTAAACCCTTTTAATTTTCATTGGACCCGGTTGGTTAAAAGTTTAAAGAATATTGTTTGTTCATGCTATTTTAGAAAAGTCTCGATCATTGCCCTGCACTCCATCCTTTCGATTTTAACCAGGCAGCCTGCGATTTCTGTAAATGGATATTATTGGCTGACATTCTTCATCATGCATCACTGTGTAACAAATTTGAACTCATTGTTACTGTCCCTTTTGTTGCAGTATTGTTTTATTTATATGACAACTTCATAGATGTCTTAACGTCCATGGAATTTGTTCCTATTAGGCCTATATACAGGTCTTTGTTTTGTCCTATAAGTCAGGTATCCTTTGTAGATTATTATAGTGGTATAGTTCATATGGGACCCAAATTTTTCTAGGGATTGTTGACCAAATGGATTTTAGCTTATGATGTTTCTGGACCATCACTATCACCTTTCTGTGCGTTCTGGATGATATAGTTACAATCTCATGTGATTGATGGTTAAGATATGTAGCCTAACAATCATTTGTCTTCCTGTTGATTAATACTTACAAACGAGCTCATCAAACTATGTTTATAGGTTGGAAGGTTAGTACTGAAGAATTCTGGCATGAGATTTACATATTGTGGATTTCTACGCCAATATGGGTAGATGGCTTGCGGCTAAGACTAACAAAAACTTGTCAAACAACTTTATAGAAGTACTTAAAACAGATCTGACAGAAACTTGTTTATTGTCACAAACATTGTGAGGAGAAAATAAAGGCAGTTTACAAGTTTAGCACATATAGGTTACACAGTGTACGATCATGTGCTAGTGATACTAAGCTGCTGCTTGACAAGTTGACTTGAGAGTTGAATGAATTTTAGGCCAAAGCAATGAGTTCTACCTCCTATTTGAGAAAGACATATTTGGTTTCTCTTCAACTTATAGATATCCTTATTGATGTTTTAAGCAAATGATAAGTTGACATCAAAAGGATAATATTGCTTGAAACATGACTTCAACTTCTTCTCACCTCAAGCACTTGTGACTTTCTATCATTATATTTTCAAAAGTTTTTTTTAGTAATGTAAGCCATGAGATTGTATGTCGTGGCTCCTTTTAATTGACCATTATACTTGTTAACTTCAATTTCAGGAATTCCTTGATCGATACAAGGGTCTGATTTTGACATGCAATGGCCTCGGCATCGGATATCCAGTACTATAGTGGATTGAGGTATCAGGCCCCTACTATCTGCGTAAATATGGTGCATCTTTCAATGTTTTTGCAGAGGCAAGGACAAGTGAAAAAAAGATAGCACTCAAAATTCTATGATCACTAGCTCTTTTAAGTTTATAAAGCCTTGATTTGTTCTCTAGTGTTTTGGATGATGTGATCAATAACATTTATTTATTCAAACGCAAACTCTATGCATAGGAAAGTTATGAAGGTCCCCTAAAATCCATTGCATGCTTGATTTGGACCTTTTTTATATATATATATTTATGCAGGGCATGTTCTTCATAGCACCCACGTTTTATAAAGGTTGAGAGTTTAAAGTGGTTTTTGGGAAGGGTAAAATACTTCATATTTCTTACATAAATCTTTTTTTTAAAATAATCTTTCTAAATTTATTAGTGTGTTAAATCGACTAATATGAATTTTCTGATTGAATTTTTTAGTAGAGAGAAAAAGATATATTCCATCTTGATATTCATACTTTTACGATAGATGGTTCCCAATTATTTGTCGTCGCATAACATAAAATATTATTTGAGAGTATAGATGTCATGTGTTGAGTTTGAGGACAAATATATTTCGTATCACAGAAAAAAAAAATCTTAAAACACTCAAAATTATGGATGATTTATGAAATAAGAAAAAAACTTTCAAGATGCACGGGACATCTATCCGATAATTAAGTCTTGATTTTAAAAGATTTCTTTCATTCAAATAGAATTTTACATATTCAAATTTCCTGATTTCAAGAATCTAAAAGTGTACTTATGAAACTCTAATTTAACCCCCTATAATTCGCAGTAGCAGCAGCAGCAGCAGCAGCGGCAGCGTTAATGGCGAACACAACTTCCACAAACCCTTCTCCTACGTGCAACTCACATGGAAACAGGGGGATAACATTTCTTCCCCTCTCTTGGAGTTGGGGTATGACAGTGCGTTGGCACCCACCACAAAGCCGGTGGTCGTCTCGCACACTGCCATGCATGGAGGTCTGTGTAGGAAAAGAGAGGGGGAGAAACTAATGCTTTCCCGCCTCCCCTCCTTTCACTTGGCCCCGTGTGTGTGCCCGCGCGCATAAAGAAGACGCGCATCTCGCGGACGCCTCTGCACGCGGCACCCTTCTTTAATCAATCCGCCACGGTCTTTGTTTTGACCACATCTTGACCGCTTAATTGCAGCCGTGACATGCCACCGTACGTGTCTGACCACTGTGATCTACGGCTCCTGATTCATCTCTGATTGATGAAGAGCGTAGGGTTGGATGATGTGAATGGAATGGTAATATTCTTTTTGAGATTTTTGCGTACTATGATTTCAAATAGCTGTATTTGCATTTGTAAGTGTATAATCTATGTTTACGCCTTTCTTTCTTTTATCTTATTCTTACATCCATACTAGATGTTATTATTATTATTATTATTATTATTATTATTAGATAAAAGATGAAGATAAGCTTTTATCCAACTATTTTGCAATGGTCTAATAAAGTTTTTATTAGTACAATTAGTTAGCACATACAAAAATACATCATGTACTAAAGCAATGTTTTCCTTTTAAGCTTATTAAGCAAATGAACCCTTCAAAGTTATATATACATATATACATGGGGTATGACTAAGAGAAGTGTCAAAAGTGTCAATGTCACCTTTGGGGTCTAATAATATGTGTAAAAAACATCACATCAAACTTATGAGAGGTCACATCATCCTCAAAGTTTCTATGATAAATTAATTGATTTATTATATTGAATATACTCGAAAGTTCTCGTGCAAATGTAAACCAACAATGATGACCATTGTTTATATTCGATTAATTAAGTAATTTATCTTTTTATTTTTTTTAAAAAAATATAATATATAGGATAAATTCTCCTAAATAATCTTTATTCTTATTTGCTTTCGATTAGCACCCCTTTCCTATTTATTCTTATAAAGTATCATTTATTTTTTAAATTATATTTAGTATTTGACTCGTTACCTCTTTTCAACGTATTACTATCACCTTCATTTCTTTCAACGTCTCTTGTTTCTTTATACGTCCTCTCCTCCATCAAATCTTAATACCAGTAAGGATGAAGAGAGGAGACAAGAGTGATGACGATCAAGGTGATAGAAAAAAAATTAGACGAAGAGTAAAGAGATGATGATAGAGGAAGAGGGCCATAGAGAGGCTAGGGATAATTTTATCCTTTAGAAAATAAAGAATGTACTATAAAAATAAATAAAAAATTTAATCAAAAAATTTTTAAATAAGAGATTTTTTAAAGTAATTTATCCAAATATATATAATTTGATAAAAGACACATTTAGGAACACATTTAACATATTGCCCAAGGCACATGAATTTAAAAAAAAATTACATTTGGCCTTAATGCTGTATTAAGGATTTGTTGGACACTAATATAATTTTTTAAATTCTTAAAACACCCTATAATATTATCTAAAATCATAACATTAATTTAGTGAAAAACTTATATGATTTATGTCTTATATAAAATAGAGCTTTATTTATTTTTTAAAAAAATATTTTATATTTATCTTATATGATTATTTATTTATTATATATGTAGATCATTTAAATTTTTTCTGGGATTACATACATTCATCTATTTATTTTATTTATTTACTTATTAGGTTAAATAAAAAATATAAATTTATCTTAAATCAATATTAAAAATATTAAAGGGTAAATTTATTACATATATTCAAAGTACCTTTGAAATATAATTTTACCAAGCAACACTCACGTCAATGTATACTTAAAATATATTTTTTATATATTATTTACCAAACATTCAAAATATTTTATGATAATACATTCACTCAAATTCGCTTTTATTTTATATTAAAAATATAAAATATACTTCAAATATATTCAGTAGGAATTTAATAAAATCAAATCTCAAGACCAAAGGAAAAAAAATCAAGGATTTGATGGGTCATGGCACAATTCCCATATTGTCACAAGTATATTTGTTGTGATTGATTATACAGCAATCAACTCACATATTTTGTATGATATAACAATATATATATATATATATATATATATATAATTATTGCAATAGGAATCCCATATACATACATACATACATACATACATATTGTTGACAATTAACTAATGATTTGATAAAGAAGGAATTTATTTAGCTATTTAGGTTATCATCTACATTCACAAGACATCTGGTGAATTCATCAGTGTTTGTCCAAATAAACTTCACCACCGAATAATACTACCAAACGAGTGCTAAATTCATGTACTTTTTTCTCTGCATGATCACTAATTTCGAACACCATTTGAAATGGTTCATGAGCATATCCTTATGCATCCATTTCATTCATCTTTTCCACTTCTTCCTCCAATGTTGCATGACACTATGACGGTCTACAGAAAACACTAGTGCAGCGTTTGCAAGACACATACATGCACAGAGAGAGAGAGAGAGAGAGAGAGAGAGAGAATCATAGTTGTAGGTAGCAGCCAATGAAAGGTGGTCAAAGAGAAGGCATGATAAAGAGGAGGAAGGCAGTAGATGCATCTGTTTCTGCAACAGTACACACACAGAGAGCTCGAATCTCAAACTGAGGCAAACAACAGCACCCAACAAATAGAACAGAAGTCTCAAGGAAGGCCAAGAAAGAAAGGGATCAGTCCACACTTCACACTACTCGTGCATGCTCTCTCTCTCTCTCTCTCACCCACAAGCCTGAGACCAAAAGCTTCCACAGCTGTGGATGGGATATATTAGCTTATAGAACTCTGTGTGCATGTGCCACCAGCATGGTTAAAGCCTTCCCCCCCCACCTGACTTGGCTGTAGCTTTAGGTCATAAAAAGAAGCATTGAAAGAAGAGAAAAAGGCACAAGGAAAGGAAGGAGGGACGACGTATATTGCAGCTGCAAATTTATGATCTCCATCAGATGAAGCACGATCACAAGTAGATGCTGCTCTCAGGCATTATTAATTCCACTTCTTTGATTTGACTGTCTTCCAGGTTGTTTCTCACTCTGACATGAGGTGATTCCTGCAAACCCTCACAGCTTAATGGTTCATGGAGCATCGAGTTCCCAACCTGCACCCGAGAGGGCCACACTACAGTGAACTCTTGCGGTTCACGAGCTGCAAACATTTCTTATTCCCAGTTGCGGTACTATCATGAACACAGGTAGTATGGCCATCAAAACTGGTGCATTAATGGCTGGTCTGTGCTCACTGTAGACAGTATGTCTAATGTTGAGTAATGGATCAGCAGAGAAAGATGATAGATCTAACAGAAGACTGCATAAACTACTTAAAGGATTAGATTAGCAAATGTGTACTAAAGTTTTTATTTTGTGACATATATTACACAATGATAAGCCAACTTATACTATACATACAACAAATACAACTTCCAGTTGAGGTTTATGGAAGGATACTGATCATATGACTTCCCTAAGTATTATAAAATCTGTGCAATAGTGTCATGTAATCTGTATGCCATCTATTCAGTTGATTCAATTGGAGGCATTAGGTGGAACAAATATATCATCTTCCAAACAGTTCTCATGACCAAATTGATAATATAAAAAATCTCAAATAATTCTTTGGTTAAAATTAAAAATCATGATATATTAACCTTTGAGAATGATAATTTTGTTGGTTTTAGAGTATTAGTAAGAAGGGTTTGGCAAATTAAGGTTGATTCACATCTAAGAAACTTTTACTTCCATGAAATCCTATCCTATCCTTGCCCTAAATTGTACCCTACCTCAATCCCATTGCTTATGAATCCAACACCAATCCTTTCTCATTGAATTCCTTCCACCTCTCATAAAAAATATGAGTAAAAGTGAAATTTGTCATTGAGAGTGAGTTGGCTTTTCTTGTCATTTCACTTCAAATCCTTGATTGAGAACCCTAGATGGTAATTGTAAAGATGGTCCTTTGCAAGTTAAGACCCCACCCTAATCATAATTTTGCATAGACATGAAACACAATATCTCTTTTCTAAATCATGTGATTGTACAACCACATCATACACTTAAATCTCCCTATCCCACCAATCAATTATAACTTCATCATTCTTTATCAATCATCACCCCAAGAAGTAGAGACCAAGAAGAGGGAGGAGGAAAAAAAAATTGTTTTTTTAATGCCATGTTGTTTATACCCCTTCTTATTGTCTATAATTCTGTCTGCCATTTGCTCTCCCTATGCCAACAGGTGCTGTGTCTCTCCCCTACAAAATCCCTCCTTTCCTCCCTATGCAACAGTTGCCCCTCATCCCCTCTTCTCCTCCTCCTCCTCCTCCTCCTCTCTCTTTGCTTCTCCTCTGAGGACTGCCAACGTTCAACTCCATGAAAAGGAGCCACCTTTGAAGGAGAAGCGGGGAGGAAGGAGAACAGGGGCTCTATTTCCACAAGAAAGATACCATCTTTCCCATATTCGAATCTGTGTCTCTATTCCCTAGCGATGGCTCCAAGCTTTGACTGTGCTGCCTCCATCCTCCTCTGCGCCGAGGACAACAGTAGCGTCCTGGGTTTTGACGATGATGTTGATGGGGAGGAGGATGGGCGTGGGTTTGGTTGGGTTTCTGGGGTGAAAAGTCCCCATTTTTACGGGGATTTCCTCGTGGACTTTCCCGTTCTCTCGGATGAACGCTTGGGGTCGCTGGTTGAGCGAGAAACGGAGTATATGCCGAGGGAGGACTATGCCGAGAGGCTACGGTCCGGGGCTCTAGACTTGGCTATCAGGAGAGATGCCATCGATTGGATCTTGAAGGTGGGGTTATTTTTCTTTTTCTACCTGTTCTTAGTCAACTTCGGTGACTTTGTTGATGAGACTCTTGTTTTTGGTACCAGCTTTCTAAGGTATTTGGGATTTCTGTGGCTTTTATTTAGTCAACATAGCATTACCTTTCTGATATTGACATTTGGATCTTGGAATCTGCAATGTTGGCTTCTCAAACAAAACAGTGTACTTATCGAGCCTTTCTTCCTGATCTTTATATTACTTTTGTCTCTCGTGTAGAATTCTTCAATGATTTGATTTGGAGAACGATTTCTTTTAATAGCCATCTACTTGGCACTTGATAATGTTGATGGATATTGTGCTACTCTATCTTGCAAAGTTTCCCATGTATTGATGCAAAATTTGGTCCACAACTCTTTTGTGATCAATGTGTCTTATGGTTTGTGGAACAGGTTCATGCCCATTACAGCTTCGGTCCGCTCAGTGCATATTTAGCAGTAAATTACTTGGATCGGTTCCTCTCTGGCTATGAGCTTCCTGTAAGAACTCTCACAATTGCCTGTAATCTGATCTTTGAGCACGCATTGCATGTACCCGGATCTGCAAAGTGTGGTTTTCAAGTTCAAGTTGATTCCTTTTTCTTGTGGGAAGGAATGATCTTATCTTGATTTAATACTATTTGCAGCAAGGAAAGGCTTGGATGACACAACTATTATCTGTGGCCTGCTTATCTTTGGCTGCCAAAATGGAGGAAACCGAAGTCCCTCTATCTCTGGACTTACAAGTGAGAAAAGCTTTGTAATTATAATTCCATGTCGTGTTCTTTGACCATATAGTTATTCTGAATCTGTGGTGCATTGCTTTCGCTAGGTAGGCGATGCAAAATATGTATTTGAAGCAAAGACTATACAAAGAATGGAGCTACTGGTGCTTAGCACCCTCAAATGGAGGATGCAAGCAGTGACTCCCTTCTCTTACGTAGATTTCTTCCTTCATAAGTTCAATGGTGGTAGTCCCCCAAGCAAGATATTGGTGTATCGGTCCGTGGAACTCATCTTAAGCATGGCTAGAGGTATATAGATCATCTCATTGTTTAAGCTGTCATGTTCATCTTTCCTCAACCCTGTTAGACTTAGTTTGGTGGATTAAGTTGTATGACCAAGGGACAATGCCATTCAGGGACCGATTTGTTAGTATTCAGGCCATCCGAAGTTGCTGCGGCCATTGCGCTGTCAGCTTTGAGGGAAACTCAGGTTGTAGAAGTCGAGAAGGCTTTGTCATGCTGTATCCATGTTGTGCAGGTGCATCCGATCCCAAGTGCTTGCTCTTCTTCATATTTGTGTGTTTCTTTGATTGGCTTCATGTTCCATTACCGACCGGTTGATGTTCTTGAAGTTCTTATCTGGTATTGGACTGTTGGTTTTGCAGGAAGGTGTCTTGAGGTGTTTTGAGGTGATCCAAGACTTGATGGCTGTGAGGTCTAGGCCACGCAAAATTGCTATTTCATCAGTTTCCTCTCTACCACAAAGCCCAATTGGGGTGTTGGATGCAGCATGCCTAAGCTATAACAGTGATGATACAACTGCTGGATCTCATGCAACATGTGGAGGTGATTCTCCAGCTAGTAAAAGGAGGAAATTAAGCAGCTCATCAATCTCATGAAGAAGACTTTGTGTGCGCTACTTACCTGCTTTGAAGACACTGGTACTTTCCAACAAGTAGTCTGGTTTATTAGTGGGGCATAGTGGTCATAATTTTGGCAAAACCAAAATGATAAAAAGATGAATGGAAAAGGAGGATCTAATAAAACTGGGCAGTCCAGTCCTTTACCGACGCCTTGGAAATGAATCAAGCAGCCACCAGTTTTGTCAAGTCAACAAAATTCCAGAGTCTGCAAAGATCAAAAGGAGCAAGGGAAGAAATTGAGAGAACTGAGGAGACCTGTGTCATGATCAAGATAGGGGGCAACTAGTTGTGAGTGTCTTTGTTGTTGTTGTTGTTGTTGTTGTTCTTTTTCTCCATTTTGTGAGAAACTAGTAGATAAATCCTTTGGGCGATCAAAAATTGCCACCCAAATTAAAAGAAAAAAAAAGAATAGAGTTGAAGAAAAGGAGGAAGTAGCTTTCCTTGAAAAGGTTTTATTTGTTGACATTTTTAAGTGAACTTTTTTTCTTATTGTACATCTTTTGTCTGCCATCCTATTGTTTGACTGCTTGTCTGCCTCAGACTCTGGACTTTGCTTCCCTCCATGATACAAAAGAGAAGTCAAGTATGATGAACCTTGGGAAGTGAACATATAAAACTTCATGTAGTGGTGATTCTAGTGTTTCTTATTGGAATTGGAGGTGCTCTTAGAAGATCCATCCTAAGATCTAATCCCTTACAGCCCATGGCATATTGCACCTATTAGATCTATTGTAATTAATGCCACAAGCTAATCTTAGCTTGTAATAACTGCAGATCCATTTTTCATATAGTTTCATACCTGAGTTATTTCACATTATAATGATGTGTTTGTACCATTTGATAATTGATTCCATCGAATCGGGCTGTGCCACTCGACAAAAATAAAATGTTGGGGTATTATCATATTAATGAAGCAGATCTCTCTTTATTTCTGTGTTTTGCAGTATCAGAACTGCAAGATTATCATAGTGGTGAAGCTGATTCTCTTTATGATGGGAGACCAAACTGATTTATGTTGTCAAACTTGTTTGCAAAATATGGACTTGAAAATTGAGGCCTGCTTAAAAGATTAGAAAGTTGGTGTTTTGATTGGTGAGGTTGCTAAACCTTCCTGTTTGGTGAAGGATTGTTTCTTTGATGTAGAAAAAGATGCTGCTGCAGTAATACTATTAGCAAAATTCAAACTAAAACTCCTTAATTCTGCTTGATGATGGAGTGAAGGCTTTCTTTTCCTTTCATTTTTTATAATTAACATGAATGTAGCAATGTTCTATGAGTGGCAGAATGAAATGGAGGAAAGATGTGAAATGCATGTGAGACAAAAAGTGTCTAGTAGAAAATTCCCAGTGGCAAAATGAAGCAGAGGAATTTTACTGTGTTCATCACTTTGTGATTCAATAATGAGAGAGCAACAAAAATCCTTGTCAGACTACACCTCATCTTCTGCTTCAGCTCGAATCTGATGAGTGGGAATGAATCATTCATTCGCATCACACAAAACTGAAACCACATCCACAGAGTCGAGACCAACTGACGAAGGCTAGATCCATTGAATTCTCAAGGCAGGCTGGGGTTGGAATGCACTGTTTCAGCAGAGAGGAAGAGAAAGAACAGCTGCAAATAGTTTCGACTGGGTGTCATGATGCGCGCAGCAAGGACAAGTGCCTGCTCTGGTTGGGATCACTGCTGCGCAGGTGCATGCAAAGGTGAAGAAGACAAGAAGGCCGTGAACTTTCGGAGAGCCAGTTAAGACAAGAGGCCAAAAGAAAGGTCAAACAGAATGATGAGACTTTGACTGCGTGTGCAAGCGATGGCTGCAACCTGTGGGCTCTGGTTCACGTAGAAGGTACGTTGGATGGACCAGTTTCTTCCTCGCTGTGAGGAAGACAGCCATTCTTGCAGGTCACACACATGGCCATGGATTCTAACCACAGGCTCTGCACAGAAACCCATCGAGTTTCTGCCAAGAACATGGTCGTGCTATTAGTTTTGGGACTGTATATTTTACTAATATTAATATACAACAAGGTGGTGAGAGGGATTTGTAGCCCGATGAACCCTAATTTGACTTGGATCTTTAGATCAGAAGAAGCTACCAGATCCAAGTCCAAGGATCCAGTGCTAAGTTGACCCAATACCTTCTTTCATATGGCTGGCTGTTCATAATGTTCTCATCTCACTGGATCGAGCTAATGGTTGCAAGTCAACGCTTGACCTTCCTCCTATCCATAAGAAAGACGGTCGTAGCTGATTCTGTCATTGAGAAGAAAGAAATAGCCGAAGAAGATTCCAATTACAAACGGTCCAATCGCACCATAACTTATGACCCAATTCGACCGATCGAGCGATGATCCAAGCCAGACTCGAGTTCGCATTTATTGCACTTTGACGGCGTCCGATCCGGTTGGCCCAAATTAATGCGTGGTGAGTTATGTCGCGTCACGACGCATTTCTCGCCCAGTATTAATTGTTGCTCCGTCCCTTTATTTGTTTTCTTGGTTACACGTTGCTTCTACGAGCGTGTGGTTGGGATTCGCGAGTCTCAAGTGGGTCCCCTCGTTTCCTCCAGTAAAACAACAGGTGAGTTTGAGAGTGTCAGAAAAGCGTATTAAACGTATTTCTGTCGGTGACCTGCGGATTTGAGCGTTCGATAGGCGGCAACTTCCCATGGCAACCCTAACGTGGTCCGCCGGAGCAGCAGACCGCATTCGTGGATACAACAGGGACCTCGCAAGCCGCGTCTCGAAGGAAGGAAGCGGACGTCGGGCGGTTGGGCGATCCCAATCCACGCGATGGAGGCAAACTGATGTGATCGGGATGGATCCGGCCGTTGATGATGCCGCCAAGCCTCGATCCGACGGTGGTGGAAGATCGCCCGACATCGGTCCTCCTCCGTCTCCGCCCGACTCCGTCCGATCTCTGCCGTCCGATCCTCCGCCGGTGGTGGAAAAGTCCGTCACTTGGAGCAGCGATCTGACGAGGGAGGCCCCTTCCTCCGCAGCCGGATACGGCCATGGCGGCGCCTCCCCGGTGCCGACCGGTCACAACCCCTACATCGCTTCCTCACCCACGGTTACCGACAACCAAAGTACTGTCTTTCTTCTCATTCTCGCCTTACTTTCCCTCTGTCGAATCTGAAAGCAATCGCAATTTCGATTGATTTCGGAGTTCGTGGTGATTAGATGCGTTGGAAACGGTCAAAAACGTGCTTAGCAGTTGGGGGAAGAAAGTCAGGGAGACGGCAAAGAAGGCCGAGGATCTGTCAAGAAACACATGGCAACACTGTAAGTAGTACCATCTTTAGAGGAATTCTCGCTTAAAAATTTTGTTTTTAGATGATATTTCCCAGTGTAGATTTTTGTGTCCTGAAGTTAGAGACTGTTACTTGATCGGTTGATCTTAGTAAGAACATTTAGGAAATGTTGGAGACCATGGAATGGATTTTGTTGATGTTTGCTCTTGGAGCTTCAGGGATTTGCATTAACCCGTACACGTGCATTAAGCTTTCTTGGTACTTCTGCCTATTTTCTCTCAACGAGAGCATAAACTAGATAAGAAGTATTATAAGAAAACTGAAGATGGAACTTTTGATAGAGTTTAATGAAGATTAGAGAAATAGTGATTGATGGAACTTAGATTCTTTGTTTACTTGAAGAGTCATGATTTCAGTGATGGAGTTCGATAAGTTTTTGCCTCTAGTTCGGGAAAAGGACTTATCTACGAAACGTTTTAATGTCAAACCCTGAATAAAATGTGATGATGGAATTTTCAATGAAAATTATCTTCCTACAAATATTGCAGTCTGTTTCCACTATGTCAACCGCAATGCATATAAACAGTCTCAGATTGTTGGACAATTAGGCTGCTAGTTTTCCTGTCACCTATATACAAAATTCATGTGCTTGGCAATAAATTCAGTTATGGTGTCTTCTCAGGAAATTATTGATTGAACTCCATGTTAAGGGCAAATTAAGATAGTTGGTGAGAGGTTCAACTTTGACAAGGTCATTGTTAACCTTCTTGTTGCCTGACAATAGCCATAAGTGTGTGGTAGTGGCTTCATGAAAGGGCATTGACCTCCATGGTTAGATGGTTAAGAGTCTGAGAAGGGACTTGTGTAGGAATGAAATGATGAATTGTGCAAGATCTTGATGTGGTAAAACAATCACTTTTTGTGGGCCTCGATATTATGTAATATGTACCATCCATTAGTTACTAATCTCATTAATGGCATATTTTTATTTTCCATGAAACAACTAAAAGGAAGCTCTGATATGTCCATGCATACTGAAATGATAATCCTATGAATTTGGATGTGTATTGGAAGAATAAAAAACAAGAAGGGCTGCAATTTTTTTTTCCTGTTTGAGGTAAGTGCTTTAGCTAGTTAGAGTTCCCATTACAGATTGTGCTAGTTAAGGAATTCAGTTTCTGGTCATTAGCTCATAAGAAATATTTCTCAATTTGATTCTTCTCAACTGTTTTAAATTATTAAGTTATTTCAGTAGTTTGTGAGTTTGTGTAAATGTTTACTGTATCACTATATACATATTATAATATATATATATATATATAATATGTATATAGTGATACAGTAAAAGTTTACACAAACTCACAAACTACTGAAAAATAACTTAATAATTTGGTCACAGGGTCACATGTGACTAACATATGGTTTGTGGTGGTCATATTAATAAGGTGGAGAAGGAACTATACTACTATAACATGTTCAATCTTGTATTGACTAACTACTATTTTGTTCATCAAGTGCCCCCTTTATCGAATTGTAGGGTTCATCGTTTGCAGACACATTCTTTCTTTAAGGGATTAATCTTCTATAATGTGATTGAATTTATATCTATTTCTTATTAGCAATTAGTCATATTCTTTCACTATTCAGTGAAAACAAGCCCTAGCTTTACCGATGCCGCTATGGGTAGAATTGCTCAAGGTACCAAAGTTATAGCAGAAGGTGGTTATGAGAAGATTTTTCGGCAAACTTTTGATTCATTTCCTGATGAGCAACTGAGAAACTCTTATGCCTGCTATCTGTCAACATCAGCTGGTCCTATTATGGGAATTCTGTACCTCTCTTCTGCAAAACTTGCATTTTGTGGTGATAACCCTCTTCCTTATAAAGTTGGAGATCGAACTGAGTGGAGCTATTATAAGGTATGCAATTCATTCACCAGAATGTACGATAATCTTTTCATTAATTGTGTAAGAAATTATCAAGCTAATGTGCAAATGCATGACTACATGGATACTTGTTCAATTAATATGTTGGTGCATGCATATATGAAGAATACTTACCCACTTGTTGGAGCTTAAAGTTTGAAGTAATAAACATTCACTAACATGCAATACAATAAAGTCTCCTCGGGTCCAATCTCTTTGTTTGGCTCATGTATAAATGGTTAAACACATTATTGCAATATGTTCTTTGGTTATCCATTTTAATGTATATATGATACTTAGGAATGAAGGCTGGTATGTTGCTCATTCACTTAAATGTTCATTTACCTGATATATTGTAAAATGGAGAAATCTAGCGTAAATTGTATGCATAGTGATTCCTTTGCAAAGGACATATAAGATCTCTAATTTGTGCTACTTCTACTGAAGCTGATGAAATTTTGGATGGACTAGTTTGACATTGAGTATATGAAAATTTTGAATGATTAGATTGGCATCCAGTGGTCTAACCCGTTCACCCATTAAACTGGTGACCTAGTGTTGCTTTTGAAGTTTACTGTGGTCGGAAATTTCTAAAACTCCTGTAATTTCCTTACATGGCAGGTTGTTATACCCTTGCATCAGCTGAGAGCAGCTAATCCTTCAATAAACAGTGCAAATTCTGCAGAAAAATACATTCAGATCGTCTCAGCTGACAATCATGAGTTTTGGTTCATGGGATTTCTTAGTTACGACACCGCTGTGACGCATCTGCAGGAAGTTTTGCATGATATAAACAAATCACAATCATAATGATGGCTTCGAGATCCTAGTTTTCGTTCTTATGCTTTCCGACAACAATGCTGAGCTTCATAGGAATTGTGTTTATCCATGTCTGTTGATCTTCCAGCTCTTGTATCTACTGAGGCAGTTGACTTGGATTATACTTTGCATATTAAAATGGGTGGTATAAGTGTTTGATTACCCTCGTATGGATCTACGCTGTTGTTTCAATTGGATTTTGGAATAATCTTTATATCTATGTATTGCTTTAGTGAATGACAATTTAAACACAGCCTATGAATTGTCACACGGTGATTAGGCCCAAAGCACATGAATCCGAGCAATTCTTGTGTCGGTAACAAAAGGTGGAAGACACACAAGGATCTAAGCCCGAAAGAGTCAATGATATATATATCTCAGGTTTGACTTATGTTAGAGTCAATTGTATTGCAGATATTTCAGTTGGCTTGGAATAACCATAATAATTGGAAATACATTCTTTTACAGGGAAAAGGATGTGGAAAAGGAAATATATCGGATTCATTTCACGAGAACGAACACAGAAATTGAAGACTGAAAGCAGAAGAGGAAAAAAAAAGGAGCAGAAAAGAAGAAGAAGAAGAAGAAAGAAATCCAATTTCCCAAAAGTAATCTAAAATCCCTATATAGTAACATCCCACTGTTACTGCCATTATTTCCTTACCCTATCCGTCTCTCTCGATTACAGTTGGTGTTGAATCGAGGAACTCCTAACACAACCTGGGTTAACTACAGGGACAGGGAGTCGATCCGACCTCCGGGCTTCTGCCGCCGTAGGATGCCTCCTTCAACTTGTGCTCCTTCGCCTCAGCCAGAACTTTAGCGGCCCAGCCGGCGAAGTAGACCTCATCGTGCCCAATCTGTCTGTTCTTGTACAAGGGGATGCAGGGGGTCTTATCGGTACTCTCGCATTCCTCGCCTTGGGGATCCCACCACGATCCCTTGTGCCGCATCCCGGCCCCGTCGGCCATCCAACGGAAGACGTACTGCCCCGCTCCGGCGCGTTCCCGCCACCCCCTGGGGTAGAACTCCATGATGCTGCTGTTCCTGTCCATCAGAAACAAGTTCGCCAGCTGCGCTCCGTGGGGAGAAGCCACGACGTCCGTCTCGCTCATCAGCTTCACCTGCATCGGTGATCACACAACTCTGTGATGCATTTGGAGATCGGAAGGAGGAAAGGAAAACTCTGTTTGATTACCTGATCGCAGAACGTCATTTTGTTGCTCCATGCGACCTTGACGGTGCACCCATCCACCTTCTCGCACTCCCTCTCGAAGATACGGATCACCGCCGACTCGTTCTTGAACGACCTCGACCCCGGTCGAAGCAGTAGCGTCATGCGAACGGCGACCTTGGAACCCACGGCTTCTGCCGTGACGCCGCAGCGAGATCTGGCCTTGCACCGCATCATGTCGTACACCTGGCGCTTCCTCGTCTTCTTCATCGCCCCCTCGTATCTGAACACCGCCGCCTGCTCGAAACAGGACGGTCTGTCGCCGTACTCCTTGAAGTCCTCGATCCTCACCTCTCCGATCGCCGCCTCCGCCACGGCCTGCACCCATCCGCCCATTCGAGTCCTGAGCTCGCCCCGGTGGAACAGCACCCAGCGGTCGGGAGCCGCGCACTGCTTCCGCTGGTACCACGACACGAATGGCGTGATGGCCGAGATCCCATGCCACAGGTTGCCGTGATCGTAGTAGGTGTCGGAGATGAAGGTTAGTCCGGGAAGGAGCGTGGCGTCGCGTGGGAGTGCCTCGCGCCATGCTAATGCATACGAGTTCTTGGCTCCATCGGAAACGTCGCGGGCCGAGAGGCATAGCAGCCGCCCGTTTGACGCCTGCGACGGGAAGTAAAGGTGCTGGGCGTCGTCGTCGGCCTCGAATGTATCATTCATGGAGCTCATGAACCAAGTGCGGCCTGATCTCGGATTCTCGGAGACCCTTACATCCTTGAGTGGGAGGAAGGTGACCAAGTCGCGGAGTATGGAACGAGTGCGGTTGAGCTCCGCCGTGGCATCATGACATGGGGACTCGTCCATGTGCAACTGGAAGAAAGGCCAGGAGAAGGAAGAGGAGGAAAGGGAGGACTTGAGGGTTTCGATCTGGAGGAGGAAGAGGAGGAGGAGGAGGGTGATGAAGGTGATGGCGAGGAAGCATACGGAGCGGTTGGTGGAGTGAGCAGGGAAGGAGGAGGTTCTCTGGGTGGAGGAGGACTTGGTGTTGACGGGGACCATGGCGGAGGGGGAGACGCAGAGGTGGAGAGAGCAGCTAACTTATATGGCATGAGGAGCGGTGCAGTGATGGTCAAAAGGTCAAAGGTTTTTGGCTCCTAATACAATGGAGCATGAGAGACTTGTATGTGTTAAGCTTATGTAAAAAGGGATTTAATATCTTCTTACTGTAGAAAGGGGATTTTATATCGCTATTCCATAAGAACTTAGGTGCGTTTGGAAGGAAATGTGGCACAATGCACATTTAAGTGAATCAATGTTGATTTATTTATTTTAAATCATATTTGACCGGAATGTTACTTTGAAAATATTCAAATGCTAAGGTAGGATAGTATTAGCATATAATCATTGTAAAATATTAATATAATTTTTTACATTTGAAAATTATCATATGATTTTATCTAAAATTATAAGATTTAGTGAGAAACCAATGTAATTTATATTTTATATAAGACAAAATTTGATGTATTTATTTTTAAAAAATATTTTTATTTTATTTATTATATATTTGGGCCATATAAATTTTTTAGGGTTAATATTTATTTTAGCTCATATGGTTTTGATCATGAACCACTTATGCCCTTTTGATTTACTCTGTCTAAAATAATCTATATATTATCAAAAACGTAACATACAAGCTCCACCCATCAAGTCTGAATTAATAAATGTTAAAGTAAGCTCCACCCATCAAGTTTGAATTAATAAATATTAAAATCTATTTATGTGGTATGTTGACTCACATTAAATTATTAATTATAATGATACGTATAATTTAAGTTTAAAAAAGGATTAAGATCTATTTTATCCATTTTAACTATTAACCAAGCTTTTATGGTTTACTCGTATCTAAAATAACTTTTATATTTTTAAAAACATGATATATAAGTCCCTATATCATGTCTAAATTAATAGATATTAAAGTATACTATGTTGACTCATAATAAATCATTAATATAATGACATATATAATTTAAGTTTAAAAAATGGTTAAGGTTTATCTTGTCAAGGAAGAGGAAGCAACGAAGACCATAGTGACGAATGAAGACGGAGATGCAAAGGTAAAAGAGGTTAGAGGCAGAGGTGAGGGAGAGCTAAACCATCAGGTTGTAAGCGTGACAAGTGGAGGCACAGGAGAGGACAAAGTGGGAGATGGTCGAGACAAAGATGCCTAGGAGTAGGAAGAGGGACCAAGAGACCACTGCGTGCATAGCGTCGGACTGGTCGACGCACATTCATCTAATGCAGGACCAGAAGCTCCTAAGCTCGTCATTACCGTGTGGGGATGATGTCCTACTATGTAGCAACGGCTCAATGCTGCTATTGGTAGTCGCTTCCGTGACGATGCCTCCTCCCGCCATTGATGGTGGTCTCAGTTTTTTAAACCTTAAATTATATGTATTATTATATTAATAATTTATTGTGAGTTAGCATACTAAGTAAGCATACTCTATTAACTCAAACTTGATTGGAGGGGCTTCTATACTATGTTTTTAAAAATATAAGGATTATTTTAGACATAAATAAATCATAAAAGCATAAGTGATCGATGACCAAAACCATAGGACTAAAATAAACCTTAATCTTTTATAAATTTAAATTATATGTATCATTATATTAATAATTTATTATGAATCAACATATCACACTCTAACATTTGTTAATTGAAACTTGATGGGAGGGTTATGTTTTTTAAAATATAAAGATTATTTTAGATATAAGTAAACCATAAGGATATAAGTGGTCCATAGTTAAAACCATAAGAACTAAAATGAACATTTAAATTTTTTTTTATAAGATTATATTTATTTATTTATTTAGTTTATTAATTTAAAATAAAAATATGTATTCACTTTTGAATAAATAATAAAAATTTTAGAAGGTAAATTTATCACGTAATATTCAATGAACTATTGAAATATGTTTTTATCATTCAACACTTACGTCAATATATATTTATAATATAATTTTCATCGATTACTTACCACTCAAACTCTTTTCTCCGGCTACGATACAAATGCATTCTCAAATGCAACCTTAACATCCCTTGATTTGATATATATCCTATAGTTTATAAAAATTATTAATTATTTTTTACCTTATAAATAAGGTTAAGATATACCTAACAAGCATAACTGAGTTATATATAAAGTTTCTCATTTATACCCAGTTTTATGGTAAACCAACTCAATAACTATAGAATTAGACATTGGTTTTGCTTCATATATTTACAAATCACATCCTCATGTCTATTATCATTAATGGATCCAATCACAGTCAAAATATTTATTTGATGCTGTATGGCTGGTGATATTAAATTGACGCTTAACTACCATTTGGAATCGACGATTCATAATAACAACTATAAGATTATTAATTTAATTATATTTATTAATATATAATTTTGGTTGTATTGATATAGAAAAATATATTTCCTAGTTTTTGTCCATCCGACAAGTGAAAGAAGGAATCGAAGATTTGGGTAATCAACAACTAAGACAAAAGCGCATTGCACTTTAACAGATGGAGAGATAAAAGTGAAGAGGACAACCATTTGGAAAAGCCTGTCATGTTGTGTTTAATTAAGCATGAAATATAGCATCTACCATGCACTTGTGTAAGTTCATGTGATAGTGGAATCGGATCTGAGATTAATTGTTTATGGTGTTAATAATATCCAGATTATTTGACCAAACAAGTCACACTCTAATCTCGACGTAAGGACAATTAGGGATAACAACTAATTCAACTTAGGGATTAGAATCGTACAGTATTTGGTATGATATCTTTATGCAAATTGGATTCCGGTGGCCACGGCTATGTTGGAATGATGATGTCTATGCTAAAGAGCGCCTTGTGTGAAGGGATTGTTGGTCGTCAATAGAAATCACGACTCACGATTACGATGATGGACGATACTCGATGGTGTCATGATAAAGAGAGATGGTTACGATAATGATGGCCTAGTAATGATAGCATGCATG